GCTTCTGGTTACTGCCATTTTACTCTCTGTTTCTATAAGTTTGACTTTTTCACACTGCACCTGTAAATAAGATCATGCGGTATTTTTCTTTCTGTGCCAGGCTTATTTCACAGAAGAGTCTTTCAAAATTGAAGGACACATAATATCCTTCAGATTCATCCATGTTGTTGCAAATGACAGATTTTCTCTTTTTAGAGCTGAACAGTATTCCATTGTGTGTATATATACCATGTTTTCTTTATCCATTTGTCTATTGATGGACACTGAGGTTGATTTCATATCTTGGCTATTGTGAATTATGCTGCAATAAAACATGGGAGTGCAGATATCTCTTTAGCATGTTGATTTCATATCCTTTGAATATATACCCAGTAGTGGGACTGCTGGATCATATGGTAGTTCTGTTCTTAAGTTTCTGGGGTGCCTCCAGACTGTTTTCCATAATGGCTGTACTAATTTACATTTCCATCAGCAGTGTCTAAGTGTTCTCTTTTCTCTATATTGTCACTAATGCTTTATTATCTTCCTGTATTTCTGCTATTCTAACAGATCTTAAGTGATACCTCATTGTGATTTTAATTTGAATTTCCCCGATGATTAATGATGTTGAACATATTTTCACATACTTATCATTTATATGTCTCCTTTTGAGAAATGCCTATTAAGGTCCTTTGCCCATTTTTAAATTGTTTTTTTTTTTTTCTTGCTATGCAGTTGTTTGAATTCCTTATATATTTTGGATGTCAGCTCCTTATCATTTGTATGGTTTGCAAATATATTCTCCCATTCTATAGGTTGTCTCTTACTGGGAATTTTATATAAGAAATTTTAGAATCATATTTGCTGTTGTGGGTGAAATGGATTAGAGAGAATAAGCGGGAGGAAGAAATGCCTAGGAACAGAGAGGCAATTCAGAACTATTACAATAATATCAGCAAAAATGGGCAGATCTTGGACTAAGAGTTATGACTCTGATTGGCAGATGAAATAAAGATATATTAAGGAAGGAGAACTGACTAGATGTTTTGATCAATCAGATGTAGAGAATGAGGGACAGTCAGGAGCTGATTGAAGTGAATAGGTGAACTGAGTCAGATTAAAACAGGCCCTATTCAACAGCCAGGAAAACAGGGACAAAGTATTTTATTCTGGTGAGAGGCTAACACTAGTCAGGTTCTCAGGGCTCTAGTGAAGTGATTTGGGATTCAGGGAATAATTGTAGTCCTTGTAAAAAATCTCAATGCTTTTATCAGTTGAACTGTATCTCCCAAAATTCTTGTGTTGAAGTCCTAGCCCCTAGCACCTCAGAATGTGACTGAATTTGGAGATAGGGTTTTAAAAGAGGTAGTTTAGACAAAATGAGGCCATTAAGATATTCATTAGAGTGGGTTCCAATCCAGCATGGCTGGTGTCCTTACAAGAAGACATTAGGACACACAGCTACACAGAGGGAAGACCATGTGAAGACACAGGAGAAGATGCCATATACAAATCAAGAAGAGAGGCCTCGGGAGAAGCAACTCTGCCAACATTTTTGATCTGAGACTTCTAGCCTGCAATTGTGAGAAAATATTTCTGTTGTTTAAGCTACCCAGACTGTGGCACTTCATTATGACAACCCTAGCAAATACTACAAATGTCAACATGGACCTAAGTCCTTTTAAACCAGAGAAGGCACAAGCCATGTGAACTGGGTGCTAAATAATACAGCTCAGAAAGTAGGCAGGGCCACCAGGGACCCTTGGTTAGTGATCTTCTGGCCAAGAAGTACTTCTCAATCCTATCCTCTGGTAGAGATGGGGCGTCTAATATTCTTTCAAGTTTGATTCTTATTGACTCAAGTTTGATTCTTATTGACTCAAGTTTGAAATCTCATTGACTTCAAGTTTGATTCTTATCTGTAGCAGAGCCAAGCTACAGATGAAAAGCCTTTAATTCTGATGCTAAGAAGAGGCAGAAGCAAGCAGGTGCTGACTGACAATCTCAATTTCAAAAAATAACTAACTGCATATCAACATATAGCATAAACGAATGTTAGATCCAGTCGGAATTGACTCAAAAATAATTAAGATATTTGTTTCTACTTGCACATTCCTTTGCCTTCACATGCAAAGAGAAATTCACTGTGGTTCAATTGCTGTTATTACCCTGCATTACTGCAAATTTCTCTGAACTGATCTTTCTGTTTCATTATCGCCACTCTTAGCCCCCAATAATGAGGATCAAGGGCAGATCATTTTAGGCATGAATAGGCACATTGCCATGATTTTCTCATTTGTCTGTACACATTTGCCAAAAAAAGGAATTATCCAGATATCTTGACTCTTTGTCCTAGTCTCCTAAATCCAATTTCAAAGGGTAGATTCTTCCTTTGCAATTACTCTCACATCCATCCTTTTACATTTTTATATATCCCAGTTCCAGCTCTTTTCAGATCTTGCCTAAACCAGTACAATAGTCCCCTTACTTTTCTGCTTGACTTTTAGCTCTTTCCTCGTTACCTAAATTCATCCTGCACAAAACTTTTATAAAACACCTTTAGAAAATGTTGACCACAATGCTCTTTTCCTATATATTGACCTTCAACAGATTCTGGTTGCTTATTCAAACACATTCAAACACCTCTGTCTTTAAGACTGTGGGAATCTGGCCTTTTCTAGCCAATGCATAACTGCCCTAGCTTCCCAAATCCTCAAATGCATTGAAGTAGTTTCAAGCATTGCCCAGCACATGCCTGCCACACAGCCCGGTGCTTCCTGCCACACAGCCGGGTGCTTCCCACCCCTGTGTTTTTGTTCATTTGGTTCCATTCCTTAGCCTGCACTCTGCCATGCTCCACCATGCTCCTTCAAGAACAGTTCAAATCCCAGACGCTTTTGCTCTCATTTTTCTCCCAGCATGAGATGCCCTTTTTTCTGTCTACTCATTCTACCCATCTTTCAAGGCGAAGCATAACTTCTAACTTACCTTTGAAGTCTTTCCTAACCATTGCGGCATTCAATCCTTTGCGAAAGGCTTTTGTGGGGTCACCAGTTACCAGATGTTGTCTGAGCTCTAGGGATCACAATTGGGTAAGACACTGTTCCTAATTTCCAGGATGATATCCTCTCCTCTTTCCTTGAGCTCCTATTGCAGTTACGACCCAAAGAATTGCCTATTAATAATGCAATGCCTCAGGAAATTTCTTCTGTTTTTAATTGCCAATTACATTTGCTTAACTTAAAAAAATGACTTATCTTCCCTAGTTATAGATTGTAAAGACTCAGTTTCCCCCCAAATTATCTAGTTTAACATGGGAATAGAGAGAGATATACTATATGTATCAGGCATTGGGCTGCTATTTTTGCTAGTGCTTCTCCTGGTGTGATACGTCTAACAGTTCACTCTATGGGGTACACAAAACCCATGATATTACAGATACTGTTGCTTAGGATAAGGCTAAAGTAAATAGCGCCTAGTTAACTGTTTTTAAAAAGTGAGTTGATTTAAAAACAAATGTTAAATAGTAATGTTTCCAGTGATAGCTCTGGCAAAAATGGTAGAAGTGGTCCTTTAATGTCTTTCAAAGGCGTTATATGATATCACATTTATTCCTCAGAACAGTCTTTCAAATTGGAAACCAAAGTCCAGAAAAATGATAGAACTTACTCAAGTCGCTAACAGATCAAACTTTCCCCCTTTACCATAATACCCTTTTGCATATAGAAAGATTTAGTTTAATACTTGAATATGGGTGTCCGACCCGTGTTTTAATACTCCATCTCCTCAAAAAGATTTGCTTTAGCTTTCTAAATCAAATCCTTCACCTTCAGAAGAATAAAAGAGGCACACCAGAGTCATTCTGGTGTATTTCTAAGCACATTTACAAAACATACAAGGAAAAGGACCTGATTCCCCGGCTGGGTGAGTGAAACGTTAATTCTTCACCTTGGCACCTCAACCTACAGCTGTAATAAGGGCCGTTATGCCCAAATAGGCCCTTAAACGGAAGACCTGCTAAGCAGAGACCCACTTTCCCAGCCCCGCTCAACTGCCTCAGCTTTTCTGCCAACTGACCAGGCGGAAGCAGCAGCAGGGGAGGAGGGACTGCAGGTAGGTGGGGAGGGGATCATTTTGAAAGCCCTAAATCCCTTGCAGGGAAGAAGCAGCTGCTCCTTGTTTTTCTAAACATCTGTCCCATCTGTCCCAGGCCACACCTCACCCTTTGGTGGCTGGAGCCAGTTAAACGTGAATTTGACAAGAAAGCCCTTCTGAAGGCTGGTTTGTGAGTGGAAATGAACCTAAGTGCCACCTAGAAAGTTTCTTCTACTGACAAGACGTTAGTAGGGGGTCTTCAGCGGGACGGCTATTACCTTCCTTCATTTTATTCTCACAAAACACAACTTTTACTGATAGAGGCGGGATTTGTAACGTCACCCAAATCAGACTGTACGCCCTGGGGATATTATTTCACAACATGAGGTACTTCTAGAGCCCACATTTTAACCCCTAGGAGAGCCACAGCCTAATTGGAAGGAGAAATAACGATATTGCACACACCATACCGCCTTTACGGTAGAACAAGCTGTGCACATCTAGTGCCTGTGGCGTTTATCACATTTTTCAGCGTGTGGCTTTTGTCTCCTCTGCCACACTGCTCCTTGAGAACAGGGACGTTATTTTTATTGTTATTTTCCCCTCGTATTCAGAACCGTGGCTGGAACTTGGTAGGCATGAAATAGATATTTATGAATGAATGAACGTTAACGAAGAAAAGAAAAGGAACTGAATGATTCATTTGGTTCTCCGAAGGCGGGTGTGAGGGGCGGGGCTCGGACTTTGACCCAGTTACCGAGTGAGGCGCAGTCCCAAAGTCCTGCAGGTCCGGCTCCAGTCACCGCAGACCCGGGTCTACAACCGGTGCTCAGGGCCTCCCGAAGCGAGGCTGCGCGCGTCCTGCACGGTCCCGCCCCGAAGAAGCGCAGCCACGCCCCCTTCTCTGGTCATTCCCTCTGCGAAGTCAGTTCCACTCTAGTTACAGGATTGGGGCGGGGCCGGCGGAGCGCAGGCGCAACGGGCGGCGGAAGTAGGAACCTGGGAAGGAAGAGAGAACGGGGCCTGGCTGTGCTATGCCAAGGGCCCACGTTTCTGTTGTGGGAAGCTCCAGGAGGTCGCACGTGCGTCCGAGCCCAAGCCCCTCCCCTCCACTCCCCTCCCCGCTTGCCCCGGAGCCGCCAAACGGCCGGCTTCTTCTCGGCCCGCCGAGATGGCGCTCGACCCCGCAGGTACCCGGGCGGGAAACGGGGTTTGCCGAGGGGCTTTGCCCTGGGTCTCACTCCGCGGGCCGTGCGGGCTGGAGACCGACCTGGGAAAGGTGCAGAGCTTTGGGTGGCATTGCTTCCACCAGCGTCTCCTCACGCTCGGCGTCTGCTTCACCCAGTCTTAGGTCATCTTCTCACTTGTTGGGGGTTATGGTTAGCTGAGGTTGCTTTTGTTGTCTAAACTCTCATGCATTGTGGTTTCTTACTTAACGCGACTCGTCTCTTCATTGTCACCCTCTTTTCGCCCCTTAAGGGCACAGACTCATTTAATGTATGGTGCAGACACTCTGGCCCCAGAAAAATTTTTATATTTGTTCTGGCGCACAGTTTTACATTTCTGTTTGGGAGTTCATGGACCCCGAGTTCATCCTTGTAACCCAACTTAAAAACACATTTCAAAGGATCCATCACTATGGCAAGAGTCAGTTTCTTTGGGAAGGATCTTCAAAGTCTTGAATGTTGTTTTAATCTCCTTGCTTCCAACCACTTCCGTTTGCAGCAATAGTTTACGTCCCCTCGAATTCCCGTCCTTGTGAAAGGTGACCTGCAGTATCTTTGCTTTAGGCTATTCTTGCAAGGGAATAGATAACCAACAGGAGGGAATGGTAATTGGTCTAGTCCATTTCTTTCATTTTCTGGATACAAAAAGTCAAAACATTGAGAGGTGAAATGGCGTCAAACTTGGGAGATTCAGAAATGGGAAATGCTCTTTCGGAGCCTTCAAGGAGCATGAAAAATATATGTAGCACAGAAATAATGTTTTAATTGAACACGTTATTACCATGCTAAGTGTTCTCTGTTATCCAACAGTATGTGATATGGTAGGTTCCTTTAGCTCCATTTTACAGATTAGGAAACCGAGGCGAAGAGAAGTTAAGTGACTAGTCCAGCAGGTAGTGGTAGATCAGGGAATACTCTTAATTTGAAGCATAGAGGAGTTTTGGAACACAATGATCATGTTCATTTTGGACTAGGTGATTATGAAACAGCAGTTGATCTGGGCTTTGAGGGATGGAATTTCCAGTGTTTGGAACTGGAGAAGAGCAGCTCCATGAGCAAAGGTTTAGATAATAAAGTGCACTGTGCGATGCTTGGTTTCAGGATGACTACTATGATTTCGTTCTTGAAGGTAGAAGGGGTAGGGTGTAAGTGAGGGGTGAGTAAGGAAGGTTCAGGTTTAGTCCCATATAATTTATGGTATTTCTTTTTTTATTTTTTTATTTTTTTTTATTTTAGTGGGACGGAGTCTCACTCTGTAGCCCAGGCTGGAGTGCAGTGGCGCGATCTCGTCTCACTGCAACCTCCGCCTGCTGGGTTCAAGCAATTCTCCCACCACAGCCTCCCGAGTAGCTGGGATTACAGGCACCCGCCACCACGCCCGGCTAATTTTTGTATTTTTAGTAGAAATGGGGTTTTGCCATGATGGCCAGGCTGGCCTGGAACTCCTGACCTCAAGTGATCCGCCTGCCTCGGCCTCCCAAAGTGCTGGGATAATAGGTGTGAGGCACCACACCCAGCCTAATTATGGTATTTCTGAACTTGAAGTGACATATAAAGTCATCTCATATAGATGAGGAGATTGAGACTGAGAGAGGTTAAAGATTTCCATATATCTATAATTTTTGAATTTAGACAAGGAAATTTGGGAGAAAAATCTTCATACTTGCTGTCTTCACTTGCTTACCTTCCAGTTACTCATAAGCCACTCCAATCTTGTGTTGTACCCAAGGCTGCACAGCTAGTTGCTGGTTGAATCAAGTCTGGTTAGAACCTAGGTAATTTCATTTCCAGTCCAGCGCTGTAGACCATGCCACCTTTTGAGTATTGATTAAACAAAGACTTGTTGAGTGTCTGGTATATGGCCCGTATTGTTCTGGGCCCTAGGGAACAGTAGTATATAGGACAAACAAAATCCCTGCTTCAATAAAGCTTATCTAGTGGTAGAAAAAGACAATTAACACCCCCTTCTCCTTCTACACAGACACGTGCGTGGGCACACACACACACACACACACATTTTTACAGATTGTGATAAACATGAAGAAAATAATGTCATGTGGTAGATGGTGAAGAGATTAGTCAGTGAAGAGCTTTATGAAGAAGTGTCATTTGAATTGGAATCTGAGGGATGAGAGGAAGCTAGGCAAAGTGTGCTAGGCCATCAAGTAGCAAATATTTAACTTGAATGTGGGTCAGAGTGTGGAGGGGATCCATAAGGAAATATACTAGGAAAGTGGGTGGTAGCTAAATGCCTAGATATTGCAGAGGCTGCAAGGCCTCAAAGGCTGGCTGTGATAATAAAACATTTGGATTATTTCTAATGTCATCAAACGCCTTTAGAATCTTTTAAAGAGGGCAGTAACATAATTTGTGTGTTTATTACCCTGACTACAGTGGTAGCATGCATTGTAGAGGGGTCAGGTAATAAGTGGCAGAAGGGAGACAGGTTAAGAGATGGGAGCAGTAGTCCAGGCCAAATATGTTTGTATCTTAGCCAAAGATGGTAATAGAAAGATGGACAGAAATATACAGCATCATGAGGAGAAATTGACAGGACCTGCTGTTGCATTGAATAAGGATGGTGAGAGAAAGGGAGGAAATAGCATCTGGGCACCGTGGCTCATGCCCATAATCCCAACGCTTTGGGAGGCCGAGGCAGGCGGATTGCATGAGCTCAGGAGTTCGAGACCACCTGGGCAACATGTTGAAAAGTCGTCTCTCCTAAAATACAAAAAAATTAGCCAGGCGTGGTGGTGCACACCTATAGTCCCAGCTACTCGGGAGGCTGAGGCATGAGAATTTGAGCCTGGAAGGCAGCGGTTGCAGTGAGCCGAGATTGCGCCACTGCGCTCCAGCTTGGGCCACAGAGTGAGACTTTGTCTCAAAAAAAAAAAAAAAAAAAAAAAAAAAAGGAAATAGGGATAATTCATCTCCAAACAAACAAACAAACAAAAACAAGAAAGGGGGGAAATAGGGATAATTCCAGTTTTTTTTACGTCAGCAGCTGGGTGGAAGGTCATGGTCGAATCTAACAATGTGATTATTGGAAACTTCATCAAAGGAAGGAGTGGAAGCCATGGAAAGTAAAAAAGTGGAGTCAGCAAGTAGGAAGATTCTTTTTTCCCCCTAAATTGTTTTGTCTGTCTAAATTCCAGAATAAAGTGTATGGAAGCCAGTTTTTTTGTTTGTTTGTTTTGTTTTTTGTTTTGTTTTTAAATTTCGTGTTTATTTGGTTCGTACGTTGAAGCTTAGTTTCACATTTTGATGTTTTACTGCTTTGTACAGCCCACGATGGTATTTGCCCATATTGAGTAAATGACTAATAGATACACCAAATGAGGTTTGTTTAGCAAAATCTGTTTTCCTATTGGTGTATTTTGTATTTTCTGTGATCTTTATAGAAGCTTGATTTTCATTTGGCAGGAACTTTTAATTAACTTTGTAGGGTCTCTGTTTTCCTCAAGAAACTGTGAACCCAACGATGAAATGCAGGTTACAGGCTTACAGGTAGTTTTAGTTACACTGTTTTCCTTTTTGTTAATGTAGCAGTAATAACACTCTTTGCTTATTGCCACGTTCTGGACAAATTTTCAGACATGATTTTATTCTCAGATGATGGTCCATAGAAACCTGCACCTGATAAATCTGATTTTTCACTTTCTCTATCAACTAGAAGTAATTCCTTTCTCCCTTCTTTGACCTTTCCCCATTTTAGTTAGGTTCTCTTCCCTGTGTCAACATGGATTCCTTCTCTACTTATGCAGGATGGGGCATGGCAGCCTAAGGGAAGTTTCCTTAATCAGGTATGTGTGTGTCCCTGTGTCCTTCTATTGCTGTTTTCTTCCGGGGACCTAATAAAAGGAGGAAATGGGACAGAGATAGGGTTTAGGGGGTGGAAAGTGGGGTCACGGATTTCATGACATTCTATGAGAAGGTGTTTAAGGTATATGTGTCTTGGGAGGATTTCATTATGGATATTCTTGGAGCATTTGGGTTTCAGTACTCCAAGTGGGGGTTCTTTTAGTGGTTCCTGTGGGAATGTAGGTAAATTAGCTTTAGGGGTACAGGCACAGTACTAGCACTTACATTTACTAGAAAATTTTACTTTTTAAGTTAGACATCTAAACAAACTTGAAGAATCTTTTTTGAGAATTGTGTGTTTAATATGTAAAAGGTTGTGGAGTTGATTAGAAAAATATTTTGTTTTTTATTTTTGTTTTGATGGGGTTTTGCCGTGTTGCTCAGGCTGGTCTTGAACTCCTGGGCTCAAGTGCTCTGCCTGCCTTGGCCTCCCAAAGTGCTGGGATTATAGGCATAAGCCACTTTGCCTGGCCTATAAGAAAAATTTTGATTTTATTATTGCCTCTATATCTCTAGAGTATCTTCTTAGACATAAATTACATTGGTGGCTCAGAACAAAAGAAAAAAGACTTGTTTAACATCTACATTTTGTATATTTATAAATTAAAAGTGTATTTGCCATAGAAAATACATTATTTTTGTCTCATTAGATTAACAACTCTCTGATGGTTGCTCTGTGAAATTTGAAAAACACAGCCTTAAGCAAAGACCATAAGAAAGAAAAATTGAGATCAAAGAGGAGTGTGTGCCATGGCAGTGGGGTGGGGGTTGGGATTTCAGTTCTGAAGCATGAAGTGACCTGTAAACCATTTCAAGGATTTTGAATTTTATACTAAGAACAATGGGAAGACACTGTAAGCTTTTAGGTAAGGCAGTGACAAACAGAACTCTCTTCACTTTGTGTTGATCTGACTTTTCTTTAGATCAAGAATAACCTTGATCTCAGCTACATATGGCATACGTGATGTGTCTTTCCAGAGTATCCCATCTGGAGGCACATGGTATCTGTTTCTCATAGGTGATGTTAATTTTGATTGCCCACTGAAGGTTTTGCCCTGTTTTGTTGTGTATTTTCTCTGTTTTGCAATTAATAACTAATCTGTGGGAAGGTTAAGACCTTGTAAATATTTGCTTCTCAGCAAATATTTCCCTTTGATTTAGGGTTCTTTTTTTTTTTTTTAACCTGATTCAGTCTTTCCCATAATGGTTGCAAAATAATGATTTTCTACCTCCAGCACACTCCCTTCACATTTACTAGATGGTTGTTGACATTTTACTGTAAGCAAGAGATTGCTTTGTTTCATTTTCATTTATTTGTGAATTTATTATTGGTATTTTTGGTAAGGACTCATGAATTCCTGTATTTTCAATGGTTTATACTCTTTTAATGTACATAATTATTTTTTGTGCTCGAGTTTCCCCAGATTTGGCCAGAGTTCCCTTCAAACTAGCTTCTGGATGTTTGTCATGTGCTGTCACCATTTTTTTGAGCATTTTCTTTTTATTCCCTCATACAAGATATCACTGCTTCATCTTGTACCTACCCTGGCCAATCCGTAGAATTACTTATTTCTCTGAGAAGCCCTGGTTCCTTTTAGATGGGCACAGTATTAGAGAGTAAGAGCTGGTCACTAGAACAGAATATAATTTGGGTGATTTATTAATGGATTGCCTTTAGGAAAAAAAAAAAAAAAAAAAAAAAAACGAACCCTGTAACAGAGTAAGGAAAATAGGAGAGGGAAGGGGAAAAATCTGAGCAAGGGTGTGGTTTCAGGTCTTAGCCTAATCAGCTCTGATGTACCACATGGTACATACAGTTTATTGTGCCTTGGAGGCAAGGGAGCTGGGCTTTCATGCCACTTTTCAGTCATTGGTAACTGCAGGAGTTGGGAGAGGGACAGCAGCAAGGAAAACAGCAAAGGGCTACCATGGCCAGGGGCAGTCCTAATAAGGTTGCAGGTATGAATGCTCCAACATTCTCTGCTGCAGGAGGGATACCAGCTCTGTCCTAAAAATAATTTATCTGAATCTATTAGGAATCTTAGGACAGTGAGATTTCAGATTGTGACAGGTCAGATAGGAATGGGTATTTGCACACATGTGTACATACACACAGGTGTGTGTACTGCATCCAGTAAAGTGTCACAGGTTGTGGTTAACAAGTTTGAATAACACTGGCTTAAGATATACCTAAGGTAGGCTAAGCTGTACTTTTTTTGTTGTTTTCTAGGCCATCGTGTGTACTGTTCTCTCTAGAATTTCCCCCGTCTTCCCTACCCCCAAGTCTACCGAATTCTTGTTCATTCCCACAACTCAATTTAAAATCAGTTTCTTAGGGGGCTTTTCCTGATTGCTACGACCTCCAGTTAAAAATTTTTTGTTAAGGTTTAGGATTAAAAACGCCACCAAAATATCGTATTTTAGATATAAAGTCCTTTTCTTTGATGAATAAAAGGAAACCTACAGATATGATGTGCCTATATGTAACAAATAATTGGAGAAATAAAGAAAAACATGACTTGAAGAATAGGAATATTCTACCTGTGTAATATTTTTCATACAAATCCACCTCTTTAAATTCGTTAGAGACTAGGTAAAAGGATAGGTCAGTTAATTTCACCTAGATTATAGAGGGTTGGCCACCTACTCCCAGGGAGGCAGTGTACTGTTGTGGAATCAACACCGAATTTGGGAGTTAGTAAGCCTGACTTATTGTTTCAGACTTTGTCATTAACCTGTCCTTAATGACATAATATGAGATTTGAATATGAAGTAGGGAAAGAGATATCCGGTAATCGCTAAGGTTGTTTCAAACCTTAAACTTCTATGATTCTAAATATTAATACTTGTCCTAGGTCTCAAGGGGTTCTTGACGCCACACAGAAATAAATTCAAGATTATGTATTGTTGCCTGGATTAGTACCTTTTTTAATTTTTTGTTTGGGGTGTTAAAATCATATGTGTAAAATTCTATGTTTTTGATATCTGTAGATGTCAAAAATATGAGAAGTATTACCTTGTACTTGATATAAGTAGACCAAACAAAATTGTACTCAAATAAAACTATTGATACCCAAGTTAACATTCTCCCCCACAATCCCCTCTTCTATTTTTTGCATTTTTTCTTTTTTTTGAGACAGAGTCTTACTCTGTCGCCCAGGCTGGAGTGCTGTGGCTAGATCTCGGCTCACTGCAAGCTCCGCCTCTTGGGTTCACGTCATTCTCCTGCCTCAGCCTCCCAAGTAGCTGGGACTACAGGTGTCCGCCACCATGCCTGGCTAATTTTTTTTTTGTATTTTTAGTAGAGACAGGGTTTCACTATGTTAACCAGGATGGTCTTGATCTCCTCTCATGATCCACCCGCCTTGGCCTCCCAAAGTGCTGGGATTACAGGTGTGAGCCACTGCGCCCAGCCTATTTTTGCATTTTTAAGTAAGAAGATTGAAGGAAAAAATTGTTAAAAATGTGGTGTTTACCATCCTGCATTGTGTTCTGCTAAAGAACTGTTACAGAGAGATTCTTACAGATCAAAAGATACGTTAATTACCTAAACATGACTAATTGGAATGTAGAGTGTCACATGTTTATGCTGCAGAATAAGGAACCTTGCTTGACTGATTCGTTATTGTATACACAATTCCTGGTGTGGTGATTGGTACATAATAGGTACATATGTATTTGTTTACAGTATATCCGTAACTATCAAACACTAAAAGTCTTTTAAATATATGTGTCATTTGTTAAGCATTACAACAATTTTATTGCATATTTACCGTATGCTAGGAGTTAGAGGGGATTACAAAGATGAGTTAGACGTGGTCTCTGACCTCATTAAACTTAACTGTTACTCGCAGTAGTTCTCAGTCTGGCTGCATATTATAATTATTTGGGGAGCCTTAAAAAATATCAATGCCTGGCTTTTACCCCAGCATTTCTGATTTAACTGGTCTGGGGTGCAGCCCAAGCATTAAGAATTTTGTACAGTCCTCTCAGGTGGTTCTTTGGTACAGCCAAGGTTGAGAGCTTCTGGTACCGAAATCTTTCTTAGTCTACTCAGGCTGCCATAATAAAATCTCGTAGACTGACTGAATGACCCACACAACATAGACTGGGTGGCTTAAAAAACGTACATTAATTTTTTTACTATTCTAGAGTCTAGGAAATTCAAGACCAAGGGGCAGGCAGATTTGGTTGCTGGCAAGGACTCTTTTCCTGACTTGCAGATGGCAGCCTTCTCCCTGTGTGTTTACATGGTGGTGAGCGGGGAGGGATGGGGGAAGAGGAGGTTGGAGGAGGAGGAGGAGGAGAGAGGGAGGAGAGAGCCCTCTGCCTCTTATGAGGCCACTAATCCTATCGAATTAAGGCCTCACCTTTATGACCTCATTTGACCTTAATTACCTCTCAGAAGCACTATCTCCAGATACAGTCACATTGGGGGTTAGGGATTCAACATATGAATTTGGAGAATGGTAAACACAATTCAATTCATGCCAACCAGTGATCTAGCAGGAGAAGATTGCATATATAGTGTGATATGATGTGTTTAAGTCCTGGTGTGGTTATAGCAACAGAACGAGTGCAGGCAAAATCTTGGGGTTAGAGAAAGGAGAAATCACATTTTAGTGCTGAGGTCAGGAAGAACTTTGGGATGGAGAAATGTTGAATTGAGTTTTAAATAAGTAAACTTTGATAACAAAAAATAAGAGGTAGAAGATGGAAAACAAAGACCGAGATTGAACTAGAGTTTGGCTTTACCTGTTACTTGCTGGGTAATGCACGATTGCTTTGAGCTTTCTGAGTCTTAGTTTCTTTATACCTGCTTCTAAATGAGATGATGTTTGTAAACCAGTTCCATCCACCACCCTTTTCTTCTTTCTGTAAATACTATCGTGTTGCTTCTGTGTACTATATAGCTGTAAGCTGATTTTTCAGGTAAGAAGGGTAAAATAACCACTAGGTTGGCAAAATGAGAGTTTACATTGTAGAAAATTTAAGTTGGAATTGAGATGCTGGTGGGACTTAGAAACCACCAGTAGATAGTTGAAAATGTGGAGAGTTGGAGATAGAGAGGAGCACTGAGAACTCAGTATCATAAACACCATCTTTAAAGGTGGAACCTTGTGGGATTGCCCCAGGAGGATTAAGTGCAGATATTACCTTGAAAGTGTGTATACTTCTAATATTGTTACCATTGTTCAGGATATTTTTGAAACCCCTTTAAGATTTCCTTCCAGATTCTTCAGTACACTCATCTTAATATCCTCATTTTGGCAAATCTTTGTTCTGAAAGTTAATTTGAATTTAAGCCAAAGTTTAACCAGAGACAGTTTGGTGAAGGTGATAGATGATCATCCTGGGAAATGCTGCCTCTTCCCTTGTCTTGGTTTGTTTTGTGTTGCTATAAAGGAATACCTTAGGATGAGTAATTTGTAAAGAAAGGGGTGTATTTAGCTCACAGTTCTGCAAGCTGTACAGGAAGCATGGCATCTGCTTGGCTTCTGATGAGAGCATTTATGCTGTGTCAGAACATGGCAGAGAAGACCAAAGACGAAGCGAGCATGTGTGAAGAGGGACCAAACGTGAGAGGCATACTGACTTTTACAACAACCCAGTCTCTTGAGAACTAGTCAATTTCTCTGAGAACCAGCCCACTCTGAAGAACTAGTCCACTCTAGCAAGAGCAGGAATTCATTACTGCTAGAAGGACACAAAGTCATTCATGAGATGTCTGCCCTCATGACCCAAACACATCCCACTGGGCGCCACCTCCTTACACTGTCACACTGGAGATCAAATTTCAACATGAGATTTGGTGGGGGCAAACCATATTGCTCCCACCCCAAAACAGTTATATTATGGAACTGGTTTTCATGTTTACTTCAGATTAGCTCTGAAGCCATACCAAGAAAGATGATGTGATTTGAGCAAAGGCTGAGTCTTCGAAAGAAGTGAAAAATAAAATAATTCAATATAAAAATATAATATAAAAATAATTCTCCTATCCCATTATCAAAGTATTATATTTTCTTTATAGGAATTCTATGAAATATTGTAAGATAAAAGAACCAGTAGTAACAGGGTGGACAGAGGCTTGAGGAACATTCATAGTGTTGAGAATATTACACAGTCTTCTAGATTCGTATGAGAAAAACAAGTAAATCAGGCAATGTATTGCTAAGAAGGCCACAGGTATGCTGTCATTTATTACTTTGTCAAATGTCTGCTCCTGTCCCATAACACTGCTGATTTTCTACCGGATATCAGTGGGAAATTGTGCTTGTAGGGGCAAAGACAGTCTTGAAGTTTTACCAAATAAAGTAAATGTGAAACTTGTTCATTTAAGAAAGTATGGCCACAATGGCGGTTGTAACACAGTTCTAAAATTGGCATGTCTTATTGCATAAGTTAATTTCCTGCTTTGGTATACTTTTAAATATGTTGTCCCTTTCTGGCCTCTTCTTGGTTAAAGCAGTGTGGGTGGAAGAGGAAGTTTTCACACCTAGCAATCTGCAGAATCTGAGGTCCAAGAAATAGGTGCTATTGGGAAATGGGCACATCTAGTGTGAACAAGGTGGTTAATTAACAGTGAAAGCTGATAGGACAGAGAAGCTCAGATGAAGCATACTATTGTGGGATATGGGTGGTACTTGACCCAGAAGCTAAGCAGAAATAGGCACATCTACCTCACTGACGTACTTTCCGTATTTTGTAAGCGTTTGAGTTTATACAAAATTAGATTGTTAGTGGCTGACCTAATATTTGATGTTTATTCCCTTTAAATGTGTTTTTCAACCAACTGACAAATTGCTCCTCTTGCTTTAAAACATTTTTTTTTCCCCATGGTAGGAAGCAGAATCAGAATTCCCTTTGATTTTACTTTCTGCTAAAAAATTGAGAACTATGAATTTTTGAATATTGCTTATTCAAGTGGTGCTTCTGAATCACAAACTTACTGTCTAAGGGTTGTTTCCCTGCTTCAGCATAACGGTGGAAGCTCACTTAGCCTTGTTTGCTTAAGTGTCCTAAGGCCACCACTCGATGTGCATGGTGGTGTCATTGAAGGTTTAGAACCTAGGTTACATGATCTTGGCATTGGCACTTTATTAGAGGCTTGGTTCATTTCACCTCTGTGAGCCTCTACTTCTTTATCTGCAAAATGAAATCAAAATACCTGCGAGAACTGTTATGAAGACTGTTTATATTCATTGCCCTCATCTCCAGGTTTCACAGACATAGACAGGCTGGAGCATTGTGGGGGAAAAAACATCTCTCCTAATCTTGATTTCCCTTTTTGTTTTTGTTTTGTCAGTTCAAGTATGGCTTAAAGGGAAGAAGGTGAATTTTCCTATTCTAAGATGTCACTTCCTTTACCCTTCCTCATTTTACTCTGTCATTATAGCAAGAAGGTATGAACAGACTGGCAAGAGGAATATCTGGTCATGAGCATACATATCTTTGTGCTGTTGAGGCAAACTGGTGTCTGCCTAGGTTCCTGGTGTGAAGCACTTAGTGAGAACTAACAATTGAGAACTCTGGTCTCATTATATTGTACATCATGCCTTCTTCCTGGGGCTCTGCCTTTTGAAGCTCTTCATAGCTAGTAAAGAAGAGGGGCCAGTAGGAGGTGGTAGCTCACTCCTGTAATCCCAGCATTTGGGAGGCTGAAGTGGGTGGATCACTTGAGTCCAGGAGTTTGAGACCAGCCTGGGAAACATAGTGAGATCCCATCTCTATAAAATACACAGAAAAAAATTAGCTTGATGTATTGATGTGTGCCTGTGTTTCCAACTACTTGGGAGGCTGAGATAGGAGGATCACTTAAACCTGGGAGGCAGAAGCCGCAGTGAGCTGTGATCACGCCATTGCGCCCTGTCCTGGGTGGCAGAGTAGTACTGTGTCTCAAAAAACAAAAACAAAACCCAAAAAAACCCCAAAAATACTCCCCCCAAAAAGCTAAACAAACAAGAGGGACCCAAATATAGAAACTACTGCTAATGAGAACATTGTTGCAAGTTTATTACAAGCATTTTTCATGTTTTTCCTACAGAGTAAACAGTAGCACCAAACTGTCTTCAAGAAGAAGTAAGTGTAACTAGTAAATTTTTTAAAAAGTGGCATTACCTAAGTATCAAATTAGTTAAATTAGAATGTTTTCATTATTGAAAGGGCATAGCTTGCCCTTCATATATCACATTCTTTCCTATTAAAGACTCTGTAATATTCTGATTTGCTTCACTGTTGTCTTTGTGGATTCATAGCAAGTGCTGTTGTCAGTAGCCTTATAATCTAGTACTGCCATATTGCAAGAACACATGAGCCCCAAAGCAAAATATGAGCTAACAAATTCAGCCAGTGAAAAAGGTGAAAATTGACTTCCAGGTGATGATAGAATGTTGAGAACTTAGAGCTTTGGAAATTTTCCCTGGTGGTGTTATCCTGATTCATTAATTCAGTATAAATTTATGTGACTATACAGTAGCAAACTTTCAAAATTTAATTTTTAGTTTTTCAACCTCTGTACAAATGTATAACATATATACACCAGATTGAGATTAAGAGAATCACTTTGTAATATTGTGAATAAAAATTGCCATATCTATAATATTTGTAATGTTGAAGATAGCTTTTTCAAAAATTATAATTAATAAATCATTGATATTTAGTGGCTGGTATGCTATCAAGTAGGAAAATCTTTAGTAGAATTTTCATATTTTTAATACTGTCATTTCTGATTTAATACCAAGAATTTGGAAAATTTGAAATCAATATTAATACAATTCTGGAATTATTTATTTGCCCTAGGAAGTTTTAGAAGAATGATCAGATGTCTTGACAAACCATCAAGTTTTAAAATTTGACACGTTTTAAAAATGTGTTTGATAGAATATTATATCTTAGAATTCATAATGTAGGTACATTTTTATTATAATTTATTTTTGGAAAAATGGTTTGATATTACAAATCTATGTCTGTATTCGAGGAATTGATTTAAAGTAATATTGCCTTAGTCATTTAAGACCTAGTTGGAAGATTTATAGAGCAAAGAGAAGATTCATCAGGATGCATTATGACTAAGTTGTGTACATGAAAATTATATATGTGAAAAAAAGTAACAGTTTGAAATTGATTTTATAAATAGATCAGTATAATCCAGTATCTTCTAATCTGTTTAGTAATTACACTGAATAGTTATTGATGCCTAGTTATGATTTATTCTGTAGGCAAGGCAAAAAGGAATTTGTAGGGATAGTCTCAGTTTTATTCTTTTCTCTGTAAGTAAGCATCAGCTTTCCACTCTATAAGATGTGTCACAGTCCCTTCAAATTCAACATGTACACAACTGAATGTCTGTCTTACCTGATCCTTCTTTTGTATTCCTTAGCTCAATAAATGGTCATATCCTTTTACTTGAAGCCAGAAAACTAGGAGTCCTCCTTGAATCATCCTGTTCCCTCAGCCCCTTTAGGCACCATCAGGCTTGTAGGAACTCCCTCTGAATTTGTCCTTTTCTCTCCATCCATGCTTCCAGTTCCTTCTCAGTGCTTTGTTTTGTTTCCTCTTTTTTTTGAGACAGAGTCTCACTCTGTCTCCTAGGCTGGAGCACAGTGGCATGATCTCGGCTCACTGCAACCTCCGCCTCCTGGGTTCAAGCAATTCTCCTGCTTCAGCCTCCTGAGAAGCTGGGACTGCAGACGCGTGCCACCGCGCCCGGGTGATTTTTGTAGTTTTTTTTCACTAGAGACAGGGTTTCATCATATTGGCCAGGCTGGTCTGGAACTCCTGGCCTCAAGTGATCCGCCCGCCTCAACCTCCCAAAGTGCTGGGATTACAGGCGTGAGCCACTGGGCCCGGCCTGTTTCCAGTGGCTTCTGGCAAAGCCAAGGAAAAAGAGAATGTGTAAATAAATGATATAGCGAAGAGTTCAGGCCTATGGGCCAAATCTGGAAAGGCTTATAAGCTAGGAACGGTTAGTAACATTTTTGAAGGGTTGTTTAAAAAAAAAAATATATATATATATATATACACACACACACACACATCCACACACATATATATATATAATACATATATACACACATACATGACAGAGATTATATGTAGCCTGCAAAGCTTAAAATATTTATACTCTGGTTCTTAACAGAAATAGTTTGTCTACCTTTACATAGGCAATGAAAATTAGAATACAACCACAGGTGTCATAAAGAGAAAAAAAATTATGTGAACCCCTTCATATCATTTTTTTGTTTGAAAATTTAAGTGAAATAGTGTCATTGAGAAATATAATCTTGCTAAAACTTCAGCTGACTCTAGAGTAAGTAAAAAGCCCTTACAAAATTGAAACAAAAGTTAAAATTATCTTTGTGCCTGTGTGTCTTACACATACACACATACATACCCCCAAACGCAGGCCCTGATAGGTTGTGTATCGGTTAGGATTCCGCCATGGAAATAATCAGTAGGAGGAAAAAACATATATATCTTAACGTGTATATATATATACACACACATATATATGCATATATGTGCAAAATACCTTCACAACATCACCTGAATTAATGTTTGCATGAATAACTGGGGACTATAACCCAGCCAAACTGACCCCATAAAACTGACCATCACAGATGGTTTTTAACAAACTTTCAAGGAACTGAGAATAATCTTTGTTTTATACACAATGTTCTAGATAATATAAAGGGAGAGGAAGGTCCCTAATTTATTGTTTAAATAATACAACTTTAACACCAAAACAATGCAAACATAAGAGAGGCAAGTCATAAGCAAACACCGGCATGGTGACAACTGAAAAGATTTTAAACACAATTTGAGCATCCGAGACAGAGGTCTTGCTAGTTACTACTTAACCACTTTTCTAAATGATGTAGCCAGCAAGAATTAAGAAAGAGGATGCAAAAGTGTTTCTGTGATTGTCTACATAGAAATTGGAAAAGAATCTGTTGTCAAATTATTACAATTGAGAGAGGTTGTATTGATTATAAGGACAACATAAAAAATCAGTTGAACCTAAACACCAGCAGTAAATAATTACAACAGGTTATTTATGGAAAGATACATTTACTAATAGAAATCTAATGAAAGATGAACAGTAACTTTAAAGAGAAAATTATGAATCTTTTTGTCTACTTAGTAACCTAATTTCTAATAGTTATGGGTTGAAATCTTCCACTGTGAGTGCAGATTTCTATAATTTTTTAAGCTAATCTATTTTAAATTGAGGTAAAATATACAGTGAAATTTACAGATCTTAAATGAGTTTTCATAAATGTATATACCCTAGTGAAGACATTTTTCAGAGAGTACCTTTTCAGCTCCCATAAATAAGCACTGTTGTAATTTTTATCACCATAGATTAACTTTGCATGTTCTTGAATCATGGCAGTATGTACTCCTGTGTCTGCTTTCTTTTGCTCAGATGTTTTTAAGATTCACCTAGGATAGATCACCTACCCTACTGATAGTAATGGTATACCAATAGTATCATTGTTTTTTATTGCTAAGTAATTTTTGGCTATTCTGAATAATGCTTCTGTAAATAGACTTGTACAAGTTGTTTTCTAGACTTATATTTTCTTTTTTTTTTTGGAGACTGAGTCTCGCTCTGTTGCCAGGCTGGAGTGCAGTGATGCGACCTCGGCTTGCTGCAACCTCCGCCTCCTGGGTTCAAGTGATTTTCCTGCCTCAACCTCCCAAATGGCTGGGACTTCAGGCGTACGCCACCACACCCAGCTAATTTTTGTATTTTTAGTAGGGATGGGGTTTCACCATGTTGGCCAGGATGGTCTCTATCTCTTGACCTTGTGATCCGCCCGCCTTGGCCTCCCAAAGTGTTGGGATTACAGGTGTGAACCAGGACTTACATTTTCATTTATCTTGCATAAGTGAATACCTAATAGTGGAACATATTTAACTTTATAACTCAGCAGTTTTCCAGAGAAATGTATCATTGCATCGTCCCACCAGCAAGATATGAAAGTTACAGATGCTCCACATTCTCTCCAATGTTGATGTTGTCATTGTTTTTAGTTTTAGTCATTCTCTTGCATTCAAAATGATACAAGGGGTTTCATTTGCAGTCTCTTAATAATTAATGATTTTGAGCACCTTTATATATATATATTTACAATTTGCATATCATCTTTTGTGATGTGTCAGTTCAAGCCTTTTGCCCATCTTTTATTGAGTTTTTATTATTGATAGGTAGGGGTTCTTGATATATTCTGGACTCAAGTCCTTTGTTTTATTTATTTTTATATAAAAAAATATATATATGAAGTAAGTTTTTCCTCCTGGTCTATAGCATGCCTTTTCAAAATTTTCTTAATTGTGTCTTTTGATAAACAAATAATTTCATATTAGTGAAGTCAAATTGATAATTTGTATACTTTATTTTTACTGCCTTATGCCCTTTTAAGAAACTCTCTACTGCAAGGAATTGAAGGGTCTTTTTTGTTTAATAGTTTTAGTTTTTACATTAGACTTATGATCCATGGCCAATTAATTTTTGTGGTTACTGTGAAGTAGGTGGTCAAAGGGTTTAACTTTTTTTTTTTTTTCATGTTAATATGGTTCTGCCACCATTTGTCGAAAATACTTTTATTTCTTCATAAACTAGCCTTGGTTCATTTGTCAATAACTTTGTTGTTTATACATGGAAGTATTTCTGGATTCTTTTGTTCTCTTTTGTTACATTGCTCTTTTTGGTTACCTGAATTATGCCAACACTACATTGTCTTGACTTCTGTGGCTTTGTAGTATGACTTGTAATCAGGTAGTTGCTCCATAGCATCTAAATTTGTTCTTCTGTTTTAGTGTTGTTTTGGCTGTTCTGTGTCCTTTGTGCTTCCTTATACATTTTTTCACTTTTTTATTATAACTTTATTTTGTAATAATATAATAATAATAGGAAACTGCAAAATCATGCGGTTTCCATGTATCTACCTTCTTCCCTTTCCCTAATGATGCTATCTTACATAACCATGGTATGTATATTCTCAGTGGGTGTGATACTGCCTTCAAAGGATAACAATTGACATTGGTGGAGACAAAAATACTCTCAACATATAAAGCACTGTTACACCTGCAGTACGTAAACATATATGCTTTATCTGCGATATTAACATTTCATAGGGGTACATTAGGAAAAAAATGTCAAAAAAGGCTCCTTTTAGGGCAAAAATGAGAAAAGGTTGGGACAGGCTCCTATAATGAAATGTGAACACGGAAACTGGGAATTGGCAATGGTATAATATCGTTGCTTCAGGTACTAATCTTAGTCAAATTTCACCAGTTTTTTACATGCACTTTTTTTGTTGTTCTAGAGTTATATGACATCTAGATCGTGAGGATTTTCTCCTGTGATTGTTTGTAGACTTTTTTTCTTTAACTTTTTATTTTGAAATAATTATAGATTCACATAAAATTGTGAAAAATGCTATATAGACTAAGTATCCATCTCATAGCGTTCCCCAGTGGTGACACTTATATATCTGTAGTATAATATCAAAATCAGGAAACTGAAGTTGATACAGTACTGTTAACTAGATTATAGACCATTTCAGTTTTCACCAGTTTTTACATGTACTCATGTGTGCGTATATAATTCTGTGTAATTTTATACCATGTCTCTTTTTTTATAGGGAAAGTGTTCAGAGTTTTACTATTAAGTATGATGTAAGCTAGAGGATTTTTTGTAGATGTCCTTCATTAAAGAAGTTCCCTTCTGTTCCAAGTATACTGATTTTGTTTTTTATGAATGCGTGTAGAATTTTGTCCAATTTTTTGGCATCAATCGATATGATTATATGGTTTTCCTTTTTTAGTCTGTTAATATATCTGATGGATTACATGGATTGAATTTCTAATGGTGAACCACCCTTGTCTCCCTGGAATAAATCCAACTTTGTTGTTATGTATCTTTCTTTTTATGTATTGCTGGGTTTGATTTGTTAATATTTTGTTGAGGATTTTTGCATCTGTGTTCATGAGGCATAGTGGTCTGTGGATTTTGTGGGTATGTGTATGTGTTTTGTAAATACCGTTCTTGCTTTTGGTATCAAGGTATCTGTGCCTTCTTGAGTGAGTTTTGGTTGTTTTGTGGTTTTTTTAAAGGAATGTGTTCATTTCATTCTAGTTGTCAGGTTCATTGGCCTAAATTTGTTCATAATATTCCCTTATTATTTAAAAATATTTATCATTTCTGATGTTTGAAATTTGTAACCTTACTCTGGCTAGTGGTTTATAAATTTTGTTAATCTGATCCTCTCAAAGAACCAGCTTTAATTTCATTTTTTTTCTTTTATTTGTGTGGTATTCTTTATTTCATTGATTTATAGTTTGATATTTATCATTTCCTCTTTTGCTTGCTTTGTGTTTATTTTACCCTTTTGCTGGTTTCTCAACGTAGAAACTTAAGTTGATATAAGACCTTTTTTTCATTTACTAGATAGGTTTTTAGTGCTACAAATTTCCTGCCAAGTACAGTTTTAGCTGGATCACATAAATTTTGATACATTGTTTTTATTTTATTCATACGAAAATACTGTCTTATTTCCTTTTTGACATTTTCTTAGATCCATGGGTTATTTAAAAGTGTGTTATTTAGCTTACAAATATTTGAAGATTATCAAGAGATCTGTTATTGGTTGCTAATTTAATTACATTGGTGTCAGGGAACATAATTTGTAGTGCTTGAATTCTTTCAGATTTATTGAGGTTTGTTTTCTAGCCACAGTATGGTTTATTTTAGTAGATGTTCTGCTGTTATTAGGTATTCTATAAATGTTAGTTAGGTCAAGTTAGTCGATAATGTTGTTCAAGTACTTCACAGTTTTAACATTTAAATATATGTTTTTGTAATATGATTTATATATTTTACATTTGTATATCATGTGTTCAGTTTTTTTTCTGTCAGAGCATATTCTCTGTTACATCTTGTGAGATATTTTATTTTACAAAGAAGGTTACAAAATTATCTCCCATCGTTCATGCTTTTCTGTAATGTGGTTTTGTTACCAAGAATGGAATCTGATTTCCTTCCACTTGAGTGTGGGCTATCCTTAATGACTTGGAATCAGTATAGTGCAGCATGAACGAATGCTGTAGCATGGCTCCAGGTAGAGAGGCCATTGGTAGATGTTCTGGTTTACAGTCCTAACTGAGCACTTCTTTTGGCCATTCCAGGCCAGGTGTCAGATACATATATGAAAAAAGAAGTAATTTTGGAAGTAAATCCTCCAGCCCCAGCTTTTGTAGCTGTTGAAACCAACACCAGAACCACCAGAACTTTGAGTCTTCCCAGATCAGGCCCTCTGACCAATAGTTTATTGTTTATTGTTCCACATCACTAAATTTGATTAGTGGTGGTTGTTGCACATAGTAGTCATTCCCCAGTATACGTAGGGGATTGGTTTCAGGAGCCCCGTATTTACCAAAACCTGTGCATTCTCAAGTCCTACCATGGGCCCCTCAGAACCCATGTGTATGAAAAGTCGGCCTGAGAAGTTGGTATACCATATAGGTTTGCATCTCCAAAATATTGTATTTTCAGTCTGCATTTGATTGGACAGTATCTGAGTGTTAAGTGGACCCCCACAGTTCAAACCCATGTTGCTCAAGGATCAACTGTAACAAGGAGATTACTTCTTTTTCTCTAGGGTTTGAAGGTGGTAAGCATTTTAGTTCCTATATATCTGAATGTTCTTAACCTCACTCTTGTTTAAAGACTCTAGAATTCTTCATAATTCTCTCTCAGAACTTGGAAGTTATTTCTCCATTGTCTTGTTGCATCATGTCTTGCTAGTGAGCCATGACGTAAATCTGAATCTCTTTCTTTTATGTAGGCAGTGTTTATTCCCTTTTGAAGCTTTTAGGATTCTGGGGTTTCAGACATGGTCCATTGCTGTCTGAGGACTCAGGTCTTTGTATTTGCCTCAGTATATTTATTATACTTCACAATAATCTAAAATCTTCTTTCCTGTATTCTTTTAATGGGAAACTGTCTGGTCTTTTGGGTATAAATAGCTATATATACCTTTTTCACCCATGACCTGAAGGCAGCAGAGGAGGTGACCATTTGGCTCCTATTGAGTCACTTTAATTAATAACTGTTTAGTTTACCCCAGGGAAGTTTTCTTGCTTTTCATATTTGCTGCTTCAGAGCATGGAGCAGCACCCACTTTTGGCATGCGTTTTTTTCCTGGACACTCTATAGCAATATGATTACCTCATTTAATCTGATCTAATCTGCCTTTTTATCTTTCAGAGATTCCTCATCGTTTTTGGTTCACTGAAGACACTTATCCCTTGTTTATTTTTCAGGACTCTCTTAGCATTTAAGGAGCAGGTGGGACTCTAGAGCAGGTGTTCAATTTGCCATTTTAGTTCAATTGTAGAAGTTGTGTTTAAAATGCACAGAAATCACATACGCTTTGTTTTCATATGGACTTGCAGTTCCACCTTTTCTTCTGCTAGTTCTTTTTTAGGCTACTCTTACTGCTAGGTAGAAAAAACTACTTGTGTGTCTCTTAATCTTGTATCTCTTCATCTATTCTTGGATCTCAGTATCAGTGAAAATTCTCTTTTGTGGATTATATTAATAAGGGAGTGATGATTTAGATGCCAACTTTGACAAGATTGCATGGAATATGTTATAAAGTAAAAGTGTCATAGTATAGTTTGCAGAAATTTTAAGAAACATGTTGCTTGTATTCCTCACATTTTTGTTGTGGTATATAAAAAAATCATTGCAAATATGATGAATTTCAATGATTAAAATAATCACAATTTCATAAGGTTGTAAGTTTTGAGTATATTTGCATAGGCTTTTAAGTAAACCAGAGTCTTATTTTTCCTTTAATCTGGTGATTTGCTTGAGACTTCATTAAAGAAAGATCTTTTTTTTTTTCAGACCAGCATCTCAGACATGTCGAAAAAGATATTTTGATCCCTAAAATAATGAGAGAAAAGGCCAAAGAGAGGTGTTCTGAACAAGTTCAAGGTAAGATTCAAATATTCATGTAAAGATCAAATTTATTTTTAATAATATGATCTGAATTTAATCCTTAGCCCCAGAATCAAGTAGTCAGTGAATTAATATGTATGAATTGCTTCTCACCCTTTTGCTGAAATACCAGTATTTCAGCTTTCAGAACTTCCAGTGATGTTCAATTCATTTACAGTTTAAAAATATTTCCCTAAATTACTAGTAAAAAACATCTTTTTTTTACCCTCAGAGGTACAGTTATATCCATAGAAAAACTTGGTATGAGTAATTTGGACAAACAAGTTATTCTGATGATTTTATAGGGGAGGAAGAAACATCAGATCTAGCCTATACCTGTTTTCCATCTGTCACCATATTCACATGTATATATATAATATATATATATATTCTAAGGTGATTTTCTTTGGTGTCATTGTCTATTACTGAATTGTTAATAGAATCCTGATAGCACTTACAGTGAGTCTGGGGTTTTTGTTTTGTTTTACGTTTCTAAGTGGAGGATATTTATGTAAATACATACACTAGACAGCTACACATGTATGTTTTCTTTGGAAAATGTTTTAACATGAAATACTCCTGTAGATCTAGAGACATCAATGATTGATGTGCAATATTCTAGTGAAACATGTAAACAAAGCAGTGAAAGGTGACAAGTGAGGCCATAATACATTTGTAAATGATGAGTTATTAGAAAAGCACATGGCAATATTACTGTAGAAATAGCTTTGAAAAAATTCTACCTCTTGGAAGGGCCATCAAAAAGAAGTAACAAAATTTTATGGACATAGGCTATTTTCCTGGCTTTACTTCTTCAGTTTCTGTGTGGTCATCTTTGTTGAGGGAACACAATTTTTAGCGAGGATGATGGGCTGCACTTCCACTGCAAGCTTCTCTACAGGGGAGCAGGGCTGTGTCAACTCTAATTTCAGGACTGGGTCAATAACATTTGGAGACTAGGAATGCTTTTGTTCCCTTCTCTGTCCTCTGCCCTTAGAGAGGACCTTTGCAATTGATGAATGGAGGTAATAAAATAAGAGTAGTTCTTTGGACTCAACAATGTGTGATGGTCATTTTTGTTTCTTCAGTAACTTATTATGACCTATCCATTTTAAAACTCATATAAATAACCATCCTGTGGTTTTACTCTTGCTTTCCTGTATTAGTTTAATAGTTTAATCAGAGTGCCTTTCTTTAACACCTACCCCCAGGTGTCTTGAGAAGTCAACCTAGTGACACCTGCAAGTAGTGCATGTATGGCATTGGCAGGTGTCATGTTTATGGTCACAAGAGGTACAATGTGCACATTCCTCATAGAACTTAAAAAATGTATATCCTGATTCAGGTGAGGGGAGATAAAACTTAAAAACTCTATACTAAAGTTGTAGGGCTTTTTATTGCTAGGGAAATTTACTTATTACTGATATATCAGTCTGAAGTTATACATGTAAGTTGTATTTATGCTGTCATGTAGCATATTATCTTTATACCTGGAATGAAAGAAAGCGAGCTAACTCAATTACAGATTTAAATTTTACTGACATAATTCCAAGGAAAATGCAGAATGATTGTATGACTTTGGGTTTCAGAACTGTCTTTCATTTTCTCTTAGACAATGAAACTTTGTTTTTGGTTTTTGAAATGAAAGAATAGAGTATAACTTTAAAATATTTATTTGTGTTACAAAACTAGTGTTTTATAATGGTACAGAAAATAAGTGTTTAATTTTCACTTCATCAGAAGTTGTTTAGGATGTTGATGTAGTTAAGTTTTTGCTTTTTCAACATACTTGAGTTTTCTGAAGACTGAAAGCATCTTAAAATCTGTGATTCATTTGGATTATTTAAATGTATTCATCTATATTAGAATGTAATAACATAATTTGAATTTCTTATAATTATATATTGATTTTTTAGGCCATGTGATTCAAAACAATGTTTTAGAATCTAAAATTGATAAGAGAATAAGAAGTCTATTTTCTAACCATATAAATTAGGAAATGATATACATTAGAATTATTCAAGCATCAAAAGAAAACTTCATTTAAACTGAACAGTAAGACATAATTTAGAATCGGGACATTTCCATTGTAGTTTATTTACTGTTTATAGCTTTTGCTTTATTAAATAATTATAGGATTTTGTATAAAAGCATTATGTATGCCAATTGTATGGTTCTTAGATAAAAGATACAGGAATTTTAATAAGTGGTCTGACTTTCTGCTAAATGCCTAAAACATGATTATGTAGGAAAGCTTTTCCGTTAGATTTTTTTTTTAAACGTCATTTCAACCCAGCTGATCATAAGAATTGGGTCAGACTGTCAGCAACTTAGGTTTGTGAAGGGAATGGAACAGCTTTTCCATGGACAAAGAGAAATGAAATCACTTTCAATGAAAGAAAGATGCCTCATTATAGTCACCAACAGCAGTTATTGACAGCTACACTTCCTATTAACAAGGAGCATTTAACTAAGAGTTTGGCTGTTGGATCTTTGGACTTGATCTAATTTGCTAGCATTAATTAGTTTCTTTTGAGCACAGACACTTGGTGCTCACAGCTATAGATCTGGAGGGCTAATTAGGATAGAAAATTGAACAGAATTGGGTAAGGCATTAACTTTCAACCATTACCAGCTGGGACACTGATAAAGACCACAGAGTCCAAATGTTACCTATTGATGTGAGGAGTACCCTAATGAATATCAATTTCAGCCAGGTTGCTATATTCTTACTAGTTGTCTCTTCATTATAATTTTTTAACCAGCTTACATTATACTCTCTTTATCTATACACCATTGGTTTTTACTTACTGTACACTGAGTTAGTCTGAGTTGCATATTTCACCTAATGTTTAAATACAGTTAAAATTTGTCAAGCAGTAGATAACATTTGGAATGTTTCATCATTATATACCCTTGTAATTCTAAAATTTAATTTTAATCTGGAATTACACGATTCTAATTCTACAATGAATTTGTGTAAGTTCCAGTAATATGCCGTTTCAATATAATGAAAACTATAATGTAATACAAAAAAATTTTAGCTTTTGGGTGACAATTAGTTTTCATATTATTCAAATGGTGCCGACTCTTGAATCTTGGTCTTTATAAAATATATTTTTAATAATGTAAAGTAAGAAACACGAAAATATATGGTTTCTTTTTTTCCCCCTTTTTCTTTGAAATGGAGTCGCACTATGTTGTACAGGCTGGTCTCCAATCCTGGGCTCAAACAAGTCTCCCTCCTTGGCCTCCCAAAGTGCTGGGATTGCAGGCATGGACTACTGTGCCCGGCCTATGTTTCTTTTTGAAGAGAAGAATAGTGCTTAGCACCTTTCCTTTTTGAACTTTGATTTGATTTGAAAAGGTGGCTTGACTTAGAGATTAGAAAGGAGAATCCTGATCTTGCTATTGGGGAAACTTTGACAAGATTATAAACTCTGTTGGTATCAAAAGAAAAGTTATTGATTTAAATATAAAATTTAATTTTATAGTATTCTTTCCTTGCTAGTGATATTATTGGCAGTGAATAAAGCTGCTAAAATAAATGACTGAACTATACTGGTAGACATTAACACAGTGAACACTGAGTACATTGGGAATGGAAGTGAAGGAAAACTCTAGAATGGCCAAATCGCTTTCTTACTTCCTCCCACTTTCCTCACCTTCCAAAAGCCAAAACAGTAATATCCCACCAACTGCAATGATGAAATCATTACTTTTTCTTGGATCTAGGAGTTAGCACCTTGTGTCTTAGGGAGATGGTTTGACAAACTCTGGATTTCAACTTTGTGTCCTTTTCTAGCTGTTTGACTTCACTAATTTAATGATTTATGTTTTCTATGTTAGTAATGTTTAAAAAATATTGTTTGCCGTATATAGGTAAAGTATGCATACTAGTATTATACATTTTTCTCTGTAAGAGGAAGAGTCACTGAATTATATAGTGTTTTATAAAAATTCCTCATTATATTTCTTTGCTTTTTTGAAGTGCGTAATCGACATTTGCTATAAAGTCTCTATATTGGATAATGACGTTTGCCTTAGAAGTAATAAGAGCCTTTTCTCTTTTTTCCTTTTGCTGTCACAGGTAAAGACAAAAAAGTATTTCGTCATCAGGGATGGGTTGGAACTTTCTTTAACCTAGCTGTATTCTTTTACTGACTCCTTTCATCCCTTGGGCCTTCTTTTCCCTTATTTTAATGTTCGTTTTGTACTTATGTTGCAGTCTTTATGATCTGTTGTCCAATAAGTGAGATACAGCTCTGAAAGAATTATATAAAGTACAAGGAAGCATGGGTTATTTGTTTGTTTGAAACATCACAGAGCTGTTGGTAAATAACAAAGAAGCTTGATAAAATACCCTGTTCTGTCAATCACACAGAACTGAAGTATGTTCTATTTTGTGAAATTCCAAAGATAAGTGAATAAACAAAAAAGAATCAAGTTAAGCATGCTTAGAATGTTCTTTAGGAAGTTTACAGGCAGATAATTATCAAAACAGCATTGAAATAGGTTGCAGAGCTGCAGACTATATACATGGTCAAAGTAATCAATCTTTTGTCCAACTGTGTTACTTCAAGCTGCCAAAAACCTGCCTTTTTATTTGTTGTTTGAGGTGTACCACTCTTATTACATGTATTTTTATTGTTAACCAGTTCACCGGTATTAACTAATGCTGAAGTGGATATGCAACACATCTTGAGACTAGTTTGGATATATTAAAAGGAAAATAATCACTGCATATGATGAACTGCTGTTATATATGAGTATATTATACAGTCTAAGAAATACAAGTAGATATAAGGCACAGTTTCTGCACTTTGGACTTATACTGGACTATGTTATGGGTTCCCAAGACCACCACTGGATTGGTTGATTCACTGGGAAGACTGACAGGACTCAGCATATAATCCTATTCATAGCTAAAATTTATTACAGCAAAAAGATACAAAGCAAAAATCAATAAAGGGAAAAGGCATATGGGAAAGTTCAGA